TTGACTTAAATATGTCTTTGAATCGATTTTAATATTTAGACGTGTAGTCTAATATTTATAAACGTACAAAATGATATATATTGTGCATAACAGTAATAAAATTCAGTTTGGATCAAACATATTTTGATATCATATGCTTTGATAAACTTTCCATAAAAATACTAGTACTAATGCAAATGTTATTTATTTCAATTTATTTGAAGTGTAAAATTGATTTTTATTATTTGTGTAAATTATAGAGCATGCAATAAATAAATAAAAAATTTAGATTTGTATGAATTTGTTGGACATAGCAAACGAAAAATATATGTTTTCCAATAATAAAATGTAAAAATATTTGTAAGTGTAGAAATAAAATAATAAATAATATTGTTACAAATAAAATAATGAAAAGCTTTACTATTATATCAATTATTTTAAAAAAATAGATGATATGGTATGGGTAAATATTACATTTAGTTAAACTTAAATCTGTAAAAAATTTATTAATGGATTTATGTTATAAAATTAATAAAAACATGTAGAGATTTCTACCATGGCATATAGTTTTACGGGCAATTACAAAAATGCCACTTTTTGTGTGCACATTTGCAAGAATGCCACTTAGGGATACTCATTTGCAAAAATGTCACTAATTATAGATTTATAAAACCTATATCTTAAAATTCTAAACCCTAAAAAATGTTTTGACCCCTAAAACCTCATAAACCCTCATAACTAAACCCTAAAAGAACATAATTAACCCAAACATAAATGATATAAAGAAAAAATAATTTTGAAAAAGTGGCATTTTTGTAAAGATTTCAAAAGTGTGGCATTTTTGTAAAGTGGCACTTGAAAAATGGCATTTTTTGAAAATTTTCTAGTTTTAATATAAATATTTTTATTGATTAATTTAAATGATATGTTTCTTAAAAATTTATTGAATAACATATTTTTTTCATTAAATATCTACTCTAGTATATAGAGGATGGAAGAAAAAAAAGCAAAAACATATGTAAGTTTGTATGATGGTGGGACGAGAGAAGAAGATGAATGGGTTTCATTAAGTTTGTTTTATATAATAAGTTTTTTTAGTGTAATACTATATTATTAAAATAAATTGAAGGCCAATATACTTCTTTTTTCTCTACATAGGCAAGGGCCTGATCACCAGCATCATAGAATCCTCCTCTCAAATCGCGGTATTTTCTCCCGAGATAATCTCCATCCTGCGAGCACGAATCGCCCCTCCAGGAAACGTTGTTACCTAGAGGCAACTTCCCAGCTGCAAGCACATCAAAAAATTAAGTACCCTCTTGGTTTATTTAGGAGCACACGAACACTTTCTCCCAAAAAGTAGGCAATTAATTTCGAGTCTTAAAACATTTTTTTCTTTCTTTTTTGCCAAAAAAAGAGAGTCTTGTACCACAATAGTATTTAATAAATATATTTGAATCTGTGGGAACTCTGGATGATTTGAAAGTTGCAACATTAGAGTCATTTGTCAATAAAGATCTACTTGTAAGAATTTTTTTTAAAAGTTTCACAAGCGTGTAACTTTAGATTTTTACTTTGGTAGATGATGCCTTGGCAAAAAAGGCTAGATGCACTTCTTCTTTTTGTCAGCAAGGCTAGATGCACTAAGCACCAATATATAATCAAATGGACTTTGTGGTTTAAGAAAAAAAAGTTCATGTGTGTATAATGTTTCTTACTGTATACGTAGACATATTCGTGCGTGTATAATGTGTTTTACTATCTTATTTGAAAGAGGAACTTTTGTTGTAACAAGATACAAGCTGCTGGAACACATATGGAGTTGTTCCAACACGAAAACGAAAGTGACGTGGCAAAAAGAAGCTGACGTGGATTATGCACAAACAAGAAGGATCTATTCAGTAAAG